GACCGGTGTGTGGACGCTGAATTTGTAAGATCGCGGCCGGGTATTTTAAAATTTCAGCTTCCCAGCTTCTCTGGTTCCCAAGTTGAAAATCTATGGGTAAAACGCACTTGAAACAGAGCCACAAAAACGCACATAAATGCACGCATACACACAATTCTCGAATATGTTTTTTTTGCAACTATTGCAGCACAAAAAGCATAAAAATTCATTTCTCGCTAAATGCTAACTTCGTGGGCTACTCTGGCTGACTAGCAGCAAATTAAGCGGTGGTCGTAAGTGCACCGACTGCTGTTGCTAGTGCTGCAATTTACTGCAGAACGGATTTCAATAACGTTTTGAATTTACACAGCAAAGGCCTAATTTGTCTGAAACACAGCAAGTCCACGGCACTTCCAACTAACTTGTAAGTTATGAAAGCAACGTCTCTCTGCTTTCATCTAGACTAGCAAGTCGTTTACTCTGAAACAAAAATCGATATCTGCAGAAGTTTTTAAAAGCGTAAAAAAATGAAATGCATCGATTAAACAAAGGCACTCATTTCTGCTACAGCTCAGAAGAGCGCTGAGGAAACCTATACCTCGTGAGTTTCGACTCTGTGGCAGCAGCTCCTTGGGCTTGATTGTTTTCGTCTCGGGACGCCAGACACGTCGGCTGCCGGTGAGACTTTTTGCGGTAAATGTTGGTTCTTCGGATGTGGTAGAACAATGAATGTGCGGGTACCCAAGCCCAGGCCAAGTCGGGCCGGGCTCATTCTTCCAGCGGACGCTATCAGCCGGGACGTATGTCGCTGAATCACTATTTTTCCTTGCAAACCAACATTTATATATCACTGCACAGACGACCAGAGCTCCAAAGACGTTCATAAAAACTACGGTGGCTGGCTCTCTGACTCTCTGACTGTTGCTTCGACGTTCAACGAGCCAATCAGGCAGAGTGCGCCGCGCACACAGCAACTACTCTCAATCTCTGCTTCCGGCCCATTGCTCAGCATCGCCGAAAAGCCATCATCCAAAGCGAAATGTGAATTCGATTTCGATTTTCTCTGATATCTGTGCTCGTTGAGGACGGGGCAGTGACGGTATATGCCGATGACGATGGCGATGACGATGATGATGGCGACGATGACGACGAAGGCGATGGCAGCAGTGGCGGCAAAGGCCGCAAAGCAGTATCGAGCAGAGGGCATTCATTTTTTCTTTTTCTTTTTTTTTGAAATTATGTCTGCGATGGATACCATTCTGCAGACCAGCAGAGGAACGACCGACAGACCGACAAACTTGCTTTTTTTTTCCGGAGATAGCATGCCGGAGTCCGCCTCTTCCCCTCCCCTCCCCTTCCTTCCGCCTCC